TATTCCCATAGACTCTGAAGGAAAGGTGGAAGGGTAAGTACAATCATTTTATTAGAAACAGAGAAGACACTGGGAGAGGAAAAAAGTCTTCTTCTGGTCACAAAGCTTTGTTCCTTGGATAGAAACGATGCAGCAAGCACCACCTCTGTTAGACACCGGGTGTGCATGGCAAGGATATATTGACGGTCATTAATGCTATCACATTTTCTGGAATGCCCAGGGAGATCTGTTATCATAGATCTGCTTCTTTATCTAAAAGCTTTTAAGTCATGGCTTCCCGGTGCTCTGCTGTTTCCAATGTCTAACCACTGGGCAACTGAGGTGGAAAGGCTCCCTGACAGCACCGTTGAGTTTCATTTCCCTTTGTACTTTATGATGGAAGAAATTCTGCTGAGCTCATCACTCCCAGGAGCTGTTAAAATGGACACCACGGTCACTTACCTGGAAGAACGGATAAGTAATTTCTCCAAAGAGCCTGTTGGCAATGGTGAGAGAGCAGCCTGGTCTGGGTTCACTGACTGCAGCTAACAGAGCCTGGAACTGGGAATGGACTTCTCCAGCTTCTTCACACTTCAACCAGGAAAACCAGGAAAAAAAAAGAAGTTTCTTAGTAGGCTTGAGCTTTCCTATGCAAACCCCGGCCTGAGGGTGAAGCGCAGCCTCCCTCTGTACGGGAAGCCTGGCTCCACCCAGTAGATATCGCATCAAGGCACCACCTCCAGCTCCCCCCATACCAGATGTACAGAATGACAAATCGATTCCCCTTCAGGCCCACACCAGTCCACCTCCAAATCATGTTGCATCCTACAGTGATCGCACACTGAGCTGAAGCCTGCTGGCTTAGAGCCTCGGAGGAAGCAAGCCCTGAGGTGCCTTTGCCATGCCCTGTAGACAAACCCATGCGGGTGGCAATTTAAGCACTTATCACATTTTAGATTGGTACTGCTGCTTTGGTTAGAAACCTGTAATGAGAAGGCTTAGATGTTGAAACGTGTGATCTCACACGGTCCCTTAACTAACTAATAAAAGAACAGTAATAAGCAGGTCTGCAAATCTAGACAGAGAGGCTGCTCAGCCCTGCCGTGCTTTCTGATTAAGTGACGGTTTGCAAGGGAAAGGGCTGACAAACCGGCATCTGTTGCTTCATCTCAGAGCTGCGACTGTGCCTTACCTTCTCAGAGGGGTAGCTGTTTCCCTGGCTGGCGCTGCGCAGAACTTCACTGAAATGAAATACCTGCAATGTAAATGTGGGGTGATGCAGCTGAGTGATGGTACCTCAAAGTCAAAATGGAGTGTTGCAAGCCTATCCCAGAACACAGTCAGACACGGTAAATGTGGAAAGCCCTGTTGGCCTTTATCGTGAGATCCTTGCAAGTGAACAAGTTGTTTTCGTAGAGGGTGAGCTTGTGAAATCTTTTTAATTCTTTCTTCCCAGTGATACCTCCAAAACACTTTCTTTAGCCCAGAGGTGTTCATTGAATGATCAATTACTGTAACAGTGTTTAGTCTGAAAAAGTTTGATATTAGGAATAACATGAGAGAGGGTTTTTTTAAAGGTATGTTTGCACGTCAGATCTGCTTACAATGCTTAGGAACTGTGTCAGACAGTGCTATCAGCCTCTTGGCTCATATCTTGCCACTGTCCCCCTTTCAGAGCAAAGGGAACCCACCTTCTCAATCTGTTCCAGGGTGTTGCCCCTGGCTCCGAGGACAACCATCCCAAAGGCAGCCGAGAGACTTAGTGGGGAGAAGAAAATGTTTTCATTTCTTTTTATCTTGCTCAGCTCTCTGAAAAAGTCAAGACAGAACTTGGCGTTGGCTGCACTGAGAGAGCACATTGTGGTGCTGCGATCGCCTGCAACAAGGGAACCAAAGATTTAGTCTTGATGAGAACATCCTTATACCTGCTAGGCTGAGATGCCTTGGTAGAGCACTGTAAGGTTTTCTGCAGCAGCGTGGCTGAATTGTTCAGCACTTCACCGAAGATTCCTGACTCGCCACATCTGGGATTTCACAGTGAACTTCAGATTGAAACAACTCATCTGAAAACCAGCACCCTGAATGGCAGGAGAAACGCGTTTTCAGAAACAGTATTTTGAGCGCAGCTGTTTCTCCAGCTCAAGCGATAGCTATGGCTTTGTCACGTAGTGCTAACCTTGTCCTAACCACAGTCCCAGCTCACTTGATGTCCCAGTCTTTCTCGCCTCAAGTCGTCTAGGCATAGCACTTATTAATTACACCCTTTGATCATACTTCACTCTCTGTGTCTCTAAAAACTCAGTGCGTATTAATCAGCTGTGCCTCATATACTGCGTCCCTCTAAGACTGGTTGCTTAACGAACATTTGACAGAAAATGGAACTACAGATAGACTCACTTAGCAAGATATTAAACAAAGGCACATTGTGTATTAGTGGAAAATTCCAGTCCTATTTTTCATTTTATCTGCAGCTTTAACACTTTTCCCAGATATACTTCAGTTATGATCACAATTATTACTAGCAGGTAACCTTGGATGTCCTGAAAAACTCTTCACATCTTACACCTAGGACAGAGTTCCTTTCTTATGAAAGTCTTTTCCTAGTATCTTCATCCAGTAAAATGATGCAGAGGCATCTGATCCTTTAGAAAGTCAATTCAGTATTTTAGAGTTTCCACCATTCTAAGTCATTTTTGCTTTGATTCTTACCGAGACTGAATAACTTCCTCCACTGATGTGGAAGACACCTTTCCCCCATTATGCAAGAAAAATTAAATTATCCATATAAATATTTAAAATATGGAACGGTATAGAAAGACTATGTTCTCATAAATTACCAATCCGTATCATGCAGGAAAAGTGGGAAAAGGTTTGGTTTTAATCTTCTTTTAGAAACACACCAGGTGAAGCCATTGTGCAAGTTAAGCACAGCTTCATCACACAGCCCATACATTTTAATGTATTCCAAAACATTGCACAGCATCTTGCAAATATTCCCACTTCCTCAAAATACATTATATACAGTATATATGTGCTAAGCAGATATGTACATTACTAATGCACATATCAATCTTCAGATATTTCATAGTTATGTCATTTGTAATGTAAAGGTTAGAATTAAAGGTCGGGGAGATAGTTACCTTCTCCTCAGGACTGATGGTGTCAACTTGACTGTTGAGCTTGGTGACAGGGCTTCTGGAGCAATGGGATATAAACCCATTGCCACTCCCAGTGGCAGCATAATCTCCATTCACAATGAGTCACATTCCTGTCTGCTGACCTTTTGTGGAATCTTAAATTTTTCCTTATCCCCAGGAGTTCAGAAAGAAGTCACCATTTTGAATGCATACTGAGATGTAAAAAAATTCTACCTAGTTTTAAAAAAGAAAGGAAGCACCAAGAAACAAAGGATTTTTCAGGGGTTTTACCTGTAAAAAAACAAACTCTACAAAATTTGGTGGGTGTTGCTGTCAGAAATGGTACCACAGAATGCAAACACATGTTTTTGTAGTAGAAATTAATTATTAAAACCTCTGCAGGTGGCACAGTGGCAATGAAAAGATATAAAATATAGAAGTACCTATTTGGCCAATTGTGACGTGAGGCAGCGGTTCCCGAGTGGAGGCAGGGCAATTCCCTTTGCCTGCTCCAGTTCTGTGCTTCTGAAGACTTCTGTCTTAAAGATCCCTTCCAGGGAGCTCTCCCTACCTGTTTTCTTCCTCAACTGGAAATTTAGTCCTTAATGGAGAAGAGGAATTTAGCCATTTATTCCAGAGTTTCTTGAATATCCAGCAGCTTGGAGGAACAGTAACTTGTTTTCATTTGCATGACATCCTAGAAGAGCGGGCCCGGGGCATGCACAGCATGACCGTGCCAAGTGTGCACGGGGGGTGCGCTGCCGCTGAGCACTCTGACGTTGTCGCAGTGACGTGGCACGGACTGTGCGCCTTCCGATCAACCGCACAGCATGAGCAGACTGACTCTGGTACACCTGGGATGCTACGCTTCCTGCAGAGACACTGTGGTTGGGGGCTCCCCATGCATCATCTACTTTTCCTTAGGTTTTCCAGGTGGAACTATGAGAGCCTTGTTCCTCTCCTGGGGATTCCTGATATTTCTACTGTAAATGGGGAAGACATTTGTGGCACAAGGGGCAAAACTTAGAGAAGCTATCCCTGTCCACACAGTCATCTTTCAAACCCTTGCATTCTGCAGATGTGTTTACAAGAAAGCAGGACGAGTTTTGTCTAGGCAGGCTTTCCACAAGACATTGATGTGTCAGCTAAGTTTAGCCCAAGACTGCTCATTACTCCTCATCTTTATCAGTGACTCTGAGGAAGTCTGGTCCTTGCCTTATATTGCTCCAGCAAGGCAGAAGCAGCATGGACAGAGCAACCTAATTATAAGAAGTAGCATGTTTCTGGGGTTATTTTCCTGAAAAAATGTCTTCCTTCACATTTAGGTTGATATGGTGTGTGGGCAGGCAAGTATTTGCATGAGTGTATGCAAGCACAAATGCTTATAATGCTGTTTTGCAAGAAGTACTTAGTTATTGCTACTAACATATACTTACATATGAACCCAATCAGATACTAGGCTTCTGTCTTTAGGAAGCTCTGAAGGCAGTTTCAGATCAATCATAAGATACTCATGGATTTATTTCTCTTCTGGTGAGAATTTTCTCATACCTTTTTCTTGGAGGAAATAGAAATTAAAAACACACTGTTCATTCAATCCCTGAGGAGAAGAGGGTTAGATGTGCACAGATTTGCCTGAAGGGAAGAAAGCTGTGGAGTCTAGTTTTGCTTGCTTAATGTTGGGGCAACAAACCTTCCCAGAGAAATGTCTGCTTTGCTTTCCTCATTTCTGCTGTGCAAATGGCTGCTCCCCACACAGTCACTTCAAAACCCAGCTCCTGAACCTGTTCCTCACGTTGTCACCTAAAGGAAACTGCAGATTAGAACTGGGCAGATGCTGTTCCCTTTCTTGCAGCAGTGGGTTGTTCTCTGCATGCTCATTTTTGGCACTAGGCATAGCACAGTTGAAGGAAAAAAGTTGTGGACTATAAAAGGGGAAAGTAGGCAAGTAGGAGCAGCAAGAAGCAACAACTCTAAGTTAGAGTAGCTTCAGTCATCTCCCAGAACAGGAGGAGGGAAATGGTTTTCAAAGAGCAAGACAAGTTTTGTTCAGCACCGTTTCCCTCTTTGCAGTCATTTTGGCTGAAAGTCTCAAACTTTTTCTTCACTTGCCAGGGACATTTCTTTTTTATTGCTGTTTCTGATGGCCTTTAGGCCTGGACCAAGGGAATGAAGACTTCTATATATGATTTATAAATTGCAATGAGTTCTGATTACATGGTTGAGATAAGCATAGGAAGGCCAAAATGAGGAACAAGAGCTGTGTACCTTGTGATTATTCTTCACTGCAAACGGACACATTGCAGTAAGTCTGGATGGCTATAGTTCTCCCTTGTTTTTTATTTCTCACCGTTTGCAGTCATATGCTTCCCTTGCTGTCAGTGTCTGCAGGACACAGCAGGGAAGCAGATTCTTGTTGAGGAACCAGAAGCTGATCTCAAGCTTGACAGCAAAGGCTCTTCTTCTCCCTTTAATCTGACAAAATGCATACTCTGCTACCACTCCGAGATAGTTCAGGCGGTAATTACAGAGTACCTGATGTGTCTGAGGTTGCCTGTGAGTAAAGGTACCATTGGATAAGTAGGGTTGCTGAATAGCCAGAGCAAAACAAAGGATCGTTTGATTTTCACTGGGCCAAAGACCAAGAGGGCCCACCCTATTTGCCAAACATCTGCTATGTAAGCATCACAAAAAATAACAAACCTTACACATCAGATCAGAGCAATTAGAGTGATAAAGCATCTGTGGTGAACCACAGCAACTGTAGCATGACAGAATACCTCTTGAAGTTGATGAAGGAGTGGGAGAGACTTCAGATGTTGCTGATGGTCTCAGCTCATTTGGGAAGCACCACGTGAGCAAAGTCTGATATTCATTGCTGTGATTTTCAGGCTGTATGAGTCAAGAACCCAGCAAAAAGCAAGTATCACCTTCTAAACTGCACTGCTGCCTGCTGGCTCTCCAATACTGAATTTATTGGCAACAGAGTGCAGGAATTGATGAGTGTCAACTTTACAGAGAGTTGGGCTACCTCATGGTGGTCATTCAACTTGCAGGGGAAGAGGTAAGCCCCGCAATATTTCTTTTTCCACCTGAACTTCCTTCTGCACCAGAAGTCTTTCCATGATTGCAGTGGACCCTTTTACTCTCCAAGGAGATTTAGGCATGATGCAAAACAGCACCTAAAAATTAATCATCTTTGATTCACTTATCTTATTGGCATCCAAAAAAAGCTCTAGCAATGCAGCCAGTTCTGCCTGTTGTACCTTCTCCGCTCACACCCTTTCTCACCCGCTCATGACCCATAACTAACAGGAAATTACATTTCTATGCAAGGATGTCTGCATGTCTCTTCTTAACTGGCTTCCACAGAGTAAGGGGTTATGGCTAGACAGATAAACATTTCTGCACAATGAGCCTAGTTTATATTGCCAGCTGATCCAGGCTTTGTGACTGGTCTCACTTATGATATCTCTGGATAGCATTCCTTTGTGGCAGCTTAAATAATTCTATAAGCCAGGTCTTTTTACCTAAATAACAAATGCAGATTTTTTTTAAAGCTGTGAGATACAGAATGTCTATAAATATTCCTCTCCTGGCTCTACCTCAAGTAGTTTAACTTCTGTCCATCTCAATGCATAGCTTTTCTTGTCAGCCAGCATTGTGGGGTGCAGTAATGAAGATAGAAAACTTCCTTTGCATTTTAAAAAAGGGGCAGTTTTTCTATATTGATTAAACACTGAAAACGATAATAGATATTTTCATGCAATGGAGCCATTGCTTAGGGGTTTTGAAAGTGCAAAAAACATTGATTTGCATTTGGAAGTTCATTCCTACAAAGGCAGCGAATGGCTGCATTTTTTTTAACAATGAAATATATGCATGAATGAAAATTCTGCTGAGATGAAATAGCAGGATTTTGGCATTTCAGTCTAGGCAACAGTCAATAGATGATATTGCAGTGGTCTCTCCAGACATCGGTTCTTATTATTTCATTGCTGAGGCCCTGATAATCCTCCAAACCAGTCATTTTGCAGCCCAGAAAATGATGAAAACCCAGAGCACAAATTCAAAGTGAAACTTGCCTCTCGTAGTTCTGGGGGACTTTGGGGTGCTTCAAGTGACAGAAATGGGAGGTAAGCACGTTTATGTATTTGTGAAAAGGAAATCCCTTGCGTTTTTATTGCTTAAGCGTTTCTCCTTAGAATCCCCAAGCTTTTTTCAATGTTACTGAGGATGTTGGAGAGCAATAAACCCTCATTACAAACATTTATTGTTTCATCACTGATAGAGGCATAGGTAATATCATAGAACAAGGCATCTCTTCAGAGTGTTGGGGATTACCACAAGAATTTATACAGTGCTAATTTAAATGAAATTTGGTGAGGAGGTCCC